CTGACAGGTGGTGTTGCCACAAGACCAGACAAGCAACGGGATTACAGCGAGGCTAATTGTCGCCACTGTGACTTCTTCTATAAGCGCTGTCAAGAAGGACTGGTGGAGTGAGATAAGGGGGAGACAATGTGTGGTGCGGACTGAGAAGCTGAGTGAAATAATCTTTAACTCTCACTACCTACACCTGCCTCTGATATAAGACATTACCCATAATCCTGTTCAGCAAGTAAAAGGACACTCACGTTCGCAACAAAAAAAAAAATGGCAAAGACGTGTCCACTGGTCTGTTGGGGTCCATCAAATTAAAGTTAGAAACAGAGGAAATTTATTTATTTATTTTTGGAAATATGGCATAAATGCACTGGCTGCAGCATAATCATACTGTTTTATGAATATACAACAAAAAAATCTCATAATTCACATGAAAAAAAGGACTCAATCAATTACAAATATTGTCAACCAAATTCAAGTTCTCAAAACAACATCGAAATAAACCCTTTTTATTTTGAAATCATTTTGGAACTGGATTTTACCAAGCAAACATTATTTAACATGAATCAGAAAGTGTGTTAATTATAATTTATTTAATATTCATCTTAATGGCCCGACAAATAGGTCTTGTTTGCTTTATGAAACATATTTAAAAAAAACCTTAAAAATGTAACCAATTCCCCTCTCTGCTTCTCCTTAACTTTATCTCTCTCTTTCTCTCTGTCTCTCTCTCTCTGTAGCTCTAGTAGTTTTGTTCGGAGCCCACATACTGCGCTGGGACATCTGTATCCCTGCTGTCATCGAACGAGACTAAGTCTGTCTCATTAATCTCTCTCTCTATTCACAACACTTACCGTCTGCTTTTTTAACCCTCCACACACACACACACACTTAGCATGGCATCCATCGCTCCCCAATGCCATGCACACAGCCAATACATAATCATCACCTCGGCTCCACAAGACATGACTCAAAATGTGATTTGTGGTGGTATCAGAATATGGGCTCATGAATATGCAGAAGATGCAGAAGGAACCTGGTGTGAGAGTTTGCCGGGACAGTGGGAAGAGATCTACATTGAATATCAATGAAGGACCCTTTTTGGGGAAGCAGTTACAAGTTTCTGATCACAATGCTGTTTTGCAGATACTTTACAATGGTCCCCTACTCGATTTTCGGGATTGGATCTTGATCATAAAGTGTCTAAATTTAGTAAATGAAGGCCACTGAAGACCAACGGTGATGAAAGGGTGGCGCTAGAAAACCAGAGACCATTTTCTTTCTCTTTTGTTTTTGCGGCACGAGCGGAGGGGATGAAAAGAGGCTGATCATGGCTTTAGAATTCCCCAGTGAATGAGGGCATTTTCACATTGGCATGGAATGAGTCCACACATCCATAGAGAGCACACACAAATGCAGAGGAAATGATGAGGAGAAATGCAATAAGGAAACAGGAGTGAGATTCCATTCCACTTTGACCAAACCAGTGTGACTGATGATCTGCGTGATTACAAACACACACACACACAAACACACAAACATAAACAGGTACACCCTTTTCCAAAAGGGCTTGTGGAAGGGTGAAAGGCTAAATGAAACAATTCAACATGTTATCTTTCAAGAGACAGCACAACCCCCCATTTCACCCCTCTTTCATGGAAGAGAGAAAGGAAATAAAAAACCTTGCACCTCTCTTTTCACTGAAATGGTGTCAAAAGGATGGAGGACACAGGTGCTTTATACAAGACAAGACATGACTTGACTTTACCACTTCACTGAACATCAAAAATCCCCTTCCAAATGACCAAAACTTCAAAAACTCAAAATCAAGCAGACTATGGCAGCAACAATTCATTTGGTAATACTTTACAATGTTTCATATATATATATATTATATATATATATATATATATATATATATATATATATATATATATATATATATATATATATATATATATTATATATATATGAAGAGTTCAGATGCAAAAGCCTCTAAGTGCCATTTGAAATTTTCTTCTAAAATGATCATTTTTATCAAGCTTGTATATTTAAGTTCAGTGATTTCACTTAAATGGCAATGAAGATTACCTATTAATTGTCATTTAAGTGAAATTACTGAACTTAAATATACAAGCTTGATAAAAATGGTCATTTTAGAAGAACATTTCAAATGGCATTTAGAGGCTTTTTTCATCTGAACTCTTCATATATATATTTTTTTTTAAGGTAATTTATTCCTGTGATGGCAAAGCTGAATTTTCAGAAGCCATTACTACAGTTTTCAGTGTCACATCACATGACGATGATCCTTCAGAAATAATTCTAAATAATAATAATTCTAAATTTTAAATAATTCTTTTTTTATGGATTCATTTGAGGAGTAAGATAGAAAGAAATCTTTTGTAAAGTTGTAAATATCTGTACCGTAACTTTATTGTTTCTTTGTCGAATAAAAGTAATAATTTCTTTAAAAAAATAAATAAAAATAATTCTGACCACAAACTTTTAAACAGCAGTGTACATACAATAAATAAATAAATATAATATTTAATAAAATTTGCTTTCAAGCGAAACACCTTAATTCATAATACTCCAAGAAGGCCTACTTTATCTTTAAATATTAGGTACATTCATAATGCTTGACGAAAGTTGATATGCAGAGTGATACTGACTTTCACTACACAAACTGCTCAATGTAATAATTAAATAAATCGTTTTGTTTCCTTTATTTTGCATTACCAACCCGATCTCACGGGAATTCGTACGAATTTTACGAGGTGGCTAATTCGTAACAATTTGTACGACCTCACTCGTACGATTTAGCTAAATCGTACATATTTTACGAATTAGCCAATTCGTATGAATTCGTACGAATGACCTACCCCTGACCCCGCCCCTAAACATAACCGTCACGTGGGTTTAGACAAATCGTACAAATTTGTACGAGTGAGGTCGTATGAATTAGTACGAATTAGCCACTTTTGAATCACTCGTACGAATTCGTACGAATTGGTCGTGAGATAGGGTAGCCATTACTACAGTACTTTATTTTGTAATTGTAACATTGTTCTATAGCATACATTATAGACTTTCCATTTAATTTGCATATTGTTGAAAGGAAAGCATCGGGAAAAAATGAAGACTACCTAATTAATCAAAGAAGTAATCGCTTCTCTCCAAACTGTCACCTTAAAATGAGGAAATGTAAATGAGTCGTTTCACCCGTCTTGTGGGGAGTAAATGAGCATCTAGTTCTGTTCTTTGAAAACTTTCATTGTGTAGGAACTTGTGTAATGACTAACATAGTGGCAGCAGTGTTTTTCAGATTAATGGCGTGCGCGTGTTAATTTATATGCCAACTCCAGCTGCTCCTGTTAAATAAAAATATAAATAAATAAACAGCAGGGTGTCTAGAATCAATGGATGTCTTACTTTAGATCACTCCATTAACAGATGTGGTAGTGAAATGCTAAATCTATCTCAGTTTATTTCTCTCTTATCTCATGTGCAGGTTTTACTTTGTTGGTAGAACTTTTTTTTCTATTATATAAACAGACAATCACTTTATTCTGCTACAATCACGGCTCCAGATAAAATGAATTCCTTGGGAGCCAATGGCTCCGAAAATTAAACGCTTAGAAGACAAATGACTTTTTTCACCACCAAATTGCATAATCAAAATAGTCTAGATTTCGGATTTCTCAATTTAGAAGTTTATCCCGACCATCGCCACGTGCTCACTTTATGCCGAATAAATGATGAAGATTCATGATAATGATCAACATTCCACCAGGAAATGTCTCGCATTCTGAAAAAAAAAGCCTTATTTACATTAGATATTACATTTAAATTTAAACTATTTTTGTTCACACTTTGACACTCTTACCAAGAAATCTAAAGATAGACTGATAGCCAATAAAGTAAACTTTCAAATAAGTTTTAGTGTGACGCATAAAGGAAATAATCTTTAAATATTGTCACAAATTCATTTTTAGTACATTTGTGATCGTTTCGCAGCCTGAATCCATGTAAAAGCCCTTTATCCATCTACCCTTTACCACTACCTTTAAGAGTTCACTCTCTCACTCTAGGATTCAAACTCTCTTCTAATCCTCCTCTATTCTTTCTTCTGCTTCCAAAAGTCTGATTGCAAAGCTTGAAGAAAAACTGGACATGGTGCTATTTCATATCGGGATCAATCTCATTATGCTCCAGCCCTTTGGCAGGCCCAGACATTGTGGATGATATAACACTCCTCCTGTGTGCCCTGATCATGGCTTTCATGGGCAAAGGAGCTTATCTAGGATCTGCAAACCTTGGTTCAATTTGCTCTTCACGATGTAAGCATAAACTCTGACATGATCCAGTAAAAAGCACAGCAGTTCTGATCTTACAGAGAGCTTGATGGGTAATGTCCACTTGGCTGCAATACATTTTAGCTCAGTGAGTTTGTCTATTAGGGGTGGGCGGTATAACCAAAATCTTAACACTGTATCAATAATTGTATAACACAGTAAAGGTAACATTACAATATTGCTAATTTTGCTTTAAATTCAAGCCGAAATGGTGTTTATAGCTATAGTAGGCCTACGGTCTGACTATACAGTAAGTAATAGATTACTTAGTTTATTGTAGTTAGCAGGGCCGTGCAGAGACCTCTGGAGGGGCAGGTGCTCAAAGTATAAAATGGGGCACATGGAAACAAGGCTTTATAGGGCTGTGCTCAAAATATCAATACAGTAATATATCAATACAGATGATTCTGCATCGATACAGCAGCAAATGCATTGATGCAGTTTTGAAAAAGAAACAGAACAGAAAAGACAATTTTAAAGTTTAAAATTTAAAAAAATAATTTATATATTTATATATAACTCTGGGATTAGAAACTGAAGCATCTTAAGTTGCCCCAACCTGATGGCTTTTTCTTCTCTGTTATACAGAATAATAAAGAACAGCTGTTATAGTGAACTGTATAGGACAAAATCAACCTGGCCCAAGTTTCGTGCAGTACAGTATGGTTTTATTTAATGGCATATCAGCATCTGTGGCTATTTTCATGGCAAAAAGTGATTTACAAAAATACAAGAGTTACATTTTATACAATGAAAATAAAAAACAAAGCAAACAGAAACAGCAATTAATACTTTACAAGATTTTTAACATTAATGTGATGCCTGTTCTGGTAAATTCTTACTCAAGTCATTAAGTGAGTTTGCTGCCTTTGCTGTTGATGTTGTTACTGCTGCTGATACTGCTGGAGTTGATCTGAGACTGTAGACATTAAAAATAAACAGAAATATAGGTTATTAGCTGATTAAACCATTTTTATGTGACCATGACAAGATGTAAAGATTGCTGACAGTGTTTGGAACTGGCTCACTAGTCCACTGACCTGCTAAAGCTACAGATTCTACCCAGGCTGCTATAGTATAATAATACAATAATAGTATATAATAGTAACGTTACTAGGGCAGATGTTCACAGAGCCTTCTGCACACAAATCATAAGATACTAACTGGTAAGCCTATGTGATAACTTACCAGAGTTGTGATAATATTTTTTATGTGAAAATAATTTTTTAAATAAATACTGTAATAATATTAATAGTTTAAAGTACAAATAATAGTTTTTAATCAAATAACACCCCTTCACGCCCGTGAAAGTTTTCTCCCTCAAACAGCAAGCTAACGTTACTTCTACAGCCTAGTACACACAGCAATACAAACAAGATTTCTCTGCATGCTCTCTTCACGTCGTTCTAGTAAAATAATAATAATAAGTAAACAAACATCAAAATCACTTCGCTGAGAATAGAACACAACTTACCAGCAGCCGCAAGAGTTGAAGCTATCCTCTGGGAATGCGCGATTGCGCGTAGCCGCGCGAAATTAAAAAATGCGCGTGCAGCGTGAGGAATCAGGTGAAAGGTCATCATGTGGGTCATTTTATTTACAGCTAAATTATTATTCATTCATTTTACTACTAGTTAGATGGGGCAGGCATCCACAAAAGTGCCTTTAAATACAAAAAAAAGGAGAGGAAATTTTGTCTTGACAAAAGGGCACTTTGGGCACCAAGTGGCAAAAGGGCAGGTGCTCGAGCACCCAACGCCCCCCCCCCCTCTGCACGTGCCTGGTAGTTAGTATGACTATTAAGGAAAACTAAATGAGACAAAATGGCTACGCATTCCAATACGCTGGATAACAAGTGGCGGCTCGTCAGGGGAGGCAAGGAATATCCAGCCTACCTGAAATTTTATGTCTCAGAATGTGTTTTTCTTGCCTGTAATTTCACCTAAGTCTAACCACCGCGCGCCAGATCGTGCTGAAACTGCAAAACGCAAGACTGAGGGGATTGAGAAAGAGAGGAGAGGCAAATCCATAGCCAGTGACTTGTGCCTCCATTGGTAAAAATAAATAAATAAATAAATAAATAGCCAATCATCATCGAGTCTTTCACTTTTTAGCGATTAGGGGTGTTCAGAAAGGCAGAGGAGGCTAGCTAACCCTAACCCCAACGCTGTGGGCCCCCAAAGCGTTTTTGCCGGCTGAAAACGCTAGACGCTCTGCTGAAGAGCGTTTTGAGAGCGTTTTTTCCGTTGAGACGTTTCGTTGCTATGATACAGGATATCCGCAGTACAGTTTACTTGTAACTGATTTCGCAGATAATTTGTTTCATACTAAAAATGTATTTTTCATCCATTTTGTTCGGTTAGCTCTGCTGGTTGATGTCATTGTACAGAAAGAATGTTGTGACAGTTGGTCGGTGAGGTATTAGCCCCGCCCCTCCTCCACTGTGATTGGACGGCTGGGTAAGAAGTGAAAGTGATGAGCGCGGAGTTTTATTCTAAGTTGAACACTTTTCAACTCTCGGTGACCAGTAAAAAAAAACGCCGGGCGCTCGGCGCTTCAGCGTGAAAAAAACAAAACAAAAAACACTCAGCGCCTCGTTACGCTCATGGTGTTTAAAAAAAGCGGCGCTACCATTGAAAACAGTTGAAAACATACACATGGCGTGTGGAAAAACTCTTTGGTGGACACACGGCCTAAGACGTAAATTACGTGATATTAATTTGAACTGCTATCGCTCATGTAACTATGGAGAGTAGAGATTTTGAATATTTGATCGCAAACTAATTTACAAAACTACCATTCAAACAAGAGCTACAAATTAAAAATAAAGGAAGACCCCATGCCTAAATTGGATATAGGCTAGAGCAATAAGCTTCACTAAATGACCAAACGTGCTCTTTTAACACCAACCTTTAAAAGGACAGAATGATGGATTTTTTGCATGATAAGCTAGGTGAGTGAACTTATATTTATATTGTATTGATATCTGTCATTTTCTATAAATATCCATGTATTTAAGTGAATAAAAAAGCCTTAAACAATCAAGATCTCTAAAATTTTATGTGCCTCCTCCATTTTAAAACCCACCAGCCAACTACTTCAAGAAAAGAAAAACAGAAATTGCTGATGGAGGACTGGTGACTGAGCAGACAAGTGTCACTCATTCAGAAGATGAGAACTCCCAATGTGAGCCGTCAGCTCAGCTGCAATTTGGAGCGTTTAGTCGGGCCTCCACAGACAGTGTGCTGGAAATTTCATTTCTAGTGACTGATGGTTCAGGGAAAAAAATGGTACGGGATTTACGAATGGCTCGAATATAGTGCTTTTTGTTCCATGTGTCGTGCATTTGGTGGCAAAGAGTCTAAGACGGACGCATTTCAAATGACTGGATTTCCCAACTGGAAAAAAAGCCACTAAAAAATTCAATGAACATCAGGAAAGCAGCTTGCACATTTCTGCAGAGTTAAAAATGAAAGGCCATCAACAGACACTTAAAACCGTAAGCGTATCCACTCAAATCAGCAGAACACGCAAAGAGAGAGGATGAGAACAGAGAATATCTGGAAAAAAAAAATATACGAGACTTTGCTCTTCTGTTGTCGTTCTGGTTTTGCTCTTTGTGGTCACGATGAAACTGATAAATCAGAAAATCTGGGGAATCAAAGTTGATGGATATAAGGGCCACTGATAACCAACTAATTAAAGGGCTAATTAGAGAGAGAGAGAGAGAGAGAGAGAGAGAGAGATGTAATTATGTTCATAGCAAGCACCAGAATGAGATGATCAATATAATGGCTGGTCAGATTAAAACTGACATTCTACAAAGAATGCATGAAGCCAGAATTTTTGCCGTCATTACGGATGAAACGCAAGCATGAGCAGTGGTTTAAGGATCTGTTGACAGATTTTATCGAACTGACAGAACAGATGGTGAATCTTTCTTTGAAATAATTTAATCTTGATATCTGTAACTTGAAAGCGCAACTTTACGATGGTGCGACAAGAATGCGTGAAACCTACCGTAATGTATATACACGCATTTTAAGTTGAAATCTACTAGCGATATATGTCCATTGTCACTCAAATTTCCTCAATCTCTGCATTGTGGATGTCCGTCACACCAATACAGCTGGGAGACACATGCTGACCAATGTTCAATCTCTCTATAACTTCATCGAGGGGTCAGAAAAACAACATGCTGTTTTGGGGTCTTTGCGTGAACCTTTACCTTTTTTTCAGGTAAATCTACCATTACTACAATCTACCATTAGTGACACAAGATGTCAGATAGCGGTCCCATTCATTTTAGCCCCATTCAGATAGCAGCCGCACAAAGGCTCTCAAGGACATACATAATTTTGAAACTAACGTTGACGCGTTAGTGAAATTTCTTGAAAATGATGTGCGAGTTAGGGGACAGGCAAGTAGTTTGCTGACATCAGTGACCGATTTTCCCATTTTGATGTGACAAGTTCTCATACAGTGTAATGTACTGCCTAAGCTTACATTATTTCAGTGTAAAAAGCCTACCACAATCTCTGCACTTTTTATTTTAGCAAGGAGAATTGATCATTACTTTCAGCAGCTTTAGGACTGCGTACTGTGTACTGCGGCCAGCTACAGTACGTCCATGGAGGAGAGCAACCAAAGCAACGGTGACTGGGCAGAATTTGGCCTCAGCCCAGGACTATAATAAGGAATTGCATTTCGGCATCCGGTGTGAGTGACTTCATAAAATATTACATTAACACTTTGGTTGCTTAACTACATCCTCAGCTCTAGTACGCACAGTGAAGAGGACCTGACAATTATTTTCCGGAAGAGGAGGCAAATGCAGAATAGGTGGTTTGCAGTCACATGATTGTGTTGACGCGCGGAAAGCAAATGGCGGGCAAGGAGTGAAGAGCGCAATGGACGAGATAGAGGAAAATTCGTACTGTACTACTTTAGATGCTATTACAAGAGAAATATATAAACAGAAAATCGAAACATATGTTGGACGTGATCCTTACGTTATGAAGAGGACCGATTTTCAACGGAATTGAGAGATTTGCCTGCCATCGAGGCTGTAGATATCAGCAACTAACTCGTCTTACAGACATCCTTTGACTTTACAAAGTTCGGAAACTGGTACGTTACACAAACAGCCACATAAGTGTATTCAAACACCTGAATAATGTAATTATAAGCCACATAAATAATGTATTAACTCACATTTGACGAAGTGATCACTGCACACACACACAGGCATTTTCCCATTCGGCTCCTCCCGACCGCAGACGTAGGTTTGCAAGGCATTTTTCCCGGTGTTTTTCTGTCAATTTCTTGTATGTTCCCCCCTTATGAATAGGGATGCACCGATACCACTTTTTTGGAAAACGAGTACGAGTACGAGTACTTGCATTTTAGTACTCGCCGATACCGATACCAAGTACTTAATAAAAAAACAAAAAAAACATGATTTAAATATTTTTATATACTGGTTTTTAGGTCCTTGATTAAATTACTTGGGTAACACTTTATTTCGATAGTCCACTTTACTAACTATAAGTAACTTTTCAATTACATGTCAACTAACTGTCATTAGAGTAGGCTATTAGTAGACTAGAGTATTAGTACAATCAGCTAAATATCTGATAACACTTTATTTATTTGGTCCCCCAACAGACATTCAACTGACTATAAGTAACTTGGCGACTACAAGTAAACTTATTCTCCTAATCCAAAGCCATTCACGAAATTGTTCCACACCAGTGGTGCACGGGTTGATCCAAAATGAGCGGGTGCCTGCGCCGCGGTCACCCGCAGTTACGGGTCATCCAAAAATATTTTTAATGATATTCGGGTCGCGGTCGGTCAGGTCGTTTGGAAAAAAATGCCAATTAAACCTTTGTATTTATATAGTACTAGATAGAATTTTCTATGAAATATATAGGCCGAATTTATTTATTGGCTGAATAACTGGCACGAAGATGACACACAAGCTCAGTCTAAACAGTTCTCAGTTCTGTACTGGTGTGATCCGAGAACCGCTGTACCTCTGCGTTCGTTACTATACGCGGATGCGCAGTATCAGCAGTATCAACAACATGTCTCAGTTCAGTGAACTGTTAGAGTTACTGGAGTAAAATATAATTCGGGATATTGGTTTATTTCAACTCGGAGGGACTGTCAGGCATGTCTGAAAGTGAGTAACTGTAGTACCTTGTGGATCAGCACTGACGCAAGACGTGAACTGATGCGAATGATTCAGTTCGATTTAGCGTACTGGTTTAACCGGTTCATTAAAAAGAACCGATTCGTTCACGAACCGGCCATGTCTATGATCACTAGTCTGCAGAGAGATGGAGGCGGCAAGAGAAAAGGTGAAGACTGGGGAGTGGAAGCTCCGCAAATACACAAATAAAAAGAGTAAGTGTGGGAGACATTTACCGAAATAATGAAAGATGATGATGACCAAAGTGCTGCCTTTGTTATATGTAGGCTACGTCTTCTTGCGATGCTCTGTTGTTACACGTTATGGCCCAATGACGCTACGATGAGCATGTAGCGCTACTACTTTTAAAAAATACGGTCAGGAAGAGGGTCGGGTACAATATTTTCTTACTT